TCTTTTTTTTTTAAATTTTTATTTTTTTAGGCGAGGTAACCCTCGGTCAACCTCACAGACTGCAAGGACCTTTTCAGCTTACAATCTCTTATTTTTTTATTTTTTATGCCTAAAGCGCCTGGTCTTCCTAGGTGGTCTCCCATCCAAGTACTAACCAGGCCCAATCCTGCTTAGCTTCCAAGATCAGACAGGATCGGGCCAGTTCAGTTTAGCATCTTTTCATTTTCTTGATGGTTTCCTTTGCTGTACAAAAACTTTTTAGTTTGATATAGTCTCATTTGTTTATTTTTTAATTTGTTTCCCTTGCCCAAGGAGATATACCCGAAAAGAAATAACTGTTAGCAATATCAGAGAGATTACTGCCTATGTTTTCTTTTAGAAGGTTTATGGTTTCAGGTCTTACATTTAAGTCTTTAATCTATTTTGAGTCTACTCTTGTATAAGAAGGTGGTCCAGTCTCTTTCTTTCTTTTCTTTCTTTCTTTCTTTCTTCATTCATTCTTAATTTTCCACACTATGAAATTCTTTCTTTCTTTCTTTCTTTCTTTCTTTCTTTCTGTCTTTCTTTCTATCTTTCTTTCTTCCTTCTTTTCTTTCTTTCTTTCTTTTTTTTTTTTGCATGTTTGTGTCCAATTTTCCTAGCACCATTAATTGAAGGGACTGTCTTTACTCCAAGGTATATTCTTGCCTGCATTGTCATGTATTAAGTGAACGTATAGGTGTGAATTATTTTCTAGGTTCTCTCTTCTGTTCCATTGATAAGTGTATCTGTTTTTCTGCCAGTACCATGCTGTTTTGGTTACTGTAGACTTATAGTATAGTTTGATGTCAGGTAGTGTGATACCTCCAACTTTGTTCTTCTTTCTCAAGATTGCCATGGCTATTCGGGGTCTTTTATGGTTCCATTTAAATTTTTAGGATTATTCGTTCTAGCTCTCTGAAAAATGCCATTGGTGTTTTGATAGGGATTGCACTGAATCTATAGATTGCTTTGGGTGATATGGTCATTTTAATGATGTTGATTCTTCCTGCCCATGAGCATGGCATATGCTTCCATTTATTTGTATCTACAATTTCTTTTTTCAATGACTTATAATTTTCTGAGAACATGTCTTTTACCTCCTTGGTTAAGTTGATTCCTAAGTATTTTATTGTTTTTGATGCAATTGTAGATGGGATTGTTTTCTTAATTTTTCCTTCTGAAAGTTCATCATTGGTGTATAAAAATGCCACTGACTTCTGAATATTAATTTTGTATCCTGCTACTTTACTGAATTCATTGACCAGTTCTAATACTTTTTTGGTAGAATCTTTAGTGTTCTCTATATGATATGGTATCATGTCATCTGCAGATAACAAGAGTTTTACTTCTTCCTTTCCAATTCGGATACCTTTCATATCTTTCTTATCTTATTGCTCTGGCTATGACTTCCAATACAATGTTGAAGAGGATTGGTGAAAGTGGGCATCCTTGTCTTGTTCCTGATCTTAAGGAAAATACTTTTAGCCTTTTCCATTGAGTATGATGTTATCTGTAGGTTTGTCATATATGGTCTTTATTATGTTGAGGTATGTTCCCTCTATTCCCACTTTTCTGAGAGTTTTTATCATAAATAGATGCTGGATTTTGTCAAACGCTTTTTCTGCATCTATCGATATGATCATATGGTTTTTATCTTTCAATTTGAAACCAAACTGACGGGATGGGAGCAGGTTGTTCTGTCATTTTTTTCTAGATCTTTGAGTTGTATATCAAATCTGTGGCTGATTACTTCACACTTGTTTAACCTGCCTGTGAAGTTCATAACAATTTTCCCAGCTCTGCGATCATCAATGATTTCAAATTCGCCAATGTAACCATGCTTCATCATTACAGTCAGAAACTGGATGATGACTTTGGAGCACGGCCTAACAAGAATCTGGCATTTGCCTCTCTTTTCAGCATTGTTGATGTTCTTGAGTGCATTGGCCAGGCTGTTCATGCATACCATTACGGCAGCATGGAAAGATGGTGGAGTCATTTTAAAAATATTTAAGTGTAAATTTAGTGTCATTAATTACATTCACAATGTTGTGCAATCACTCCCACTACCTAATTCCAAAAATTTTCATCATCCCAAACAGAACTTTGTAACTACTAAGCCATAAATCCAAGTTCCTCCCTTCCCCAGCCCCTGGTAGCCTCTATTTTCTTTCTCTATGAATTTGCCTAATCCAAATGTTTATTACAAGCAGAATAATATAATATTTGTCCTTTTGTTTATGACTTCACTTTGTATAATTTTTTCAAGTTTCATCCATATTGTAACATGTATCAAAACTTTATTCCTTTTCCTGGCTGGATAATATTCAATTGTATGTATATACCGCTTTTTTTTTTTTTTTTAAGTCCATTCATCTGTTGATGGATTCTTGGGTTGTTTCCACTTGTTGGCTGTTTTGAATAATACTGCAGCAAACATTAGAATACAAGTATCTATTCAAGTTCCTGCTTTCAGTTCCTTAGGCTATATACCTAGGAGTGTAATTGCTGGGTCATATGGTATTTCTGTGCTACGGTTTTTGAGGAATTGCCAAACTGTTTTCCATAGCAGCTGCACCATTTCATATTCTCATTGTCATTGTACCAGGATTCTAAGTTCTGCACATCTATGCCAACACTTATTTTCAATTTTTTAAATACCCATCCTAGTAGGCTTAAAATGGTTTGTTATAGTTTTACTTATATTTCCCTAGTTATTAATGATGTTGAGCATCTTTTTTATGTGTTTATTAGCCATTTCCATATCTTTGGAGAAATATATATTCACTTCCTTTGCTTATTTTCAATGGGTTGTTTTTCTTTGTTGTTGAGCTTTAGTTCTTTATATATTCTGGTTATTAAGCCCTTATTAGGTATATGATTTAAACTATTTTCACCCATCCTGTAGGTTTTTTCACTTTCTTGATAATGTTATTTGATGCACACATTTTTTAATTTAGATGAAGTCCAATTTATTTTTTCTGTGGTTGCTTATGCTTTTGGTGTCATATTTAATAATACATTGCCAAATCCAAGGTCATTCCAGCTTTCTTTACACAGCTTTAGCATGGTGTGTCTTTTTTCATCCTTGTACTTTTAGTCTATTGGTATAGGTATATTTAAGGTGAATTTCTCCTATGTAGCCTATAGTTTAGTTGTGCTTTTTAAAAAATCTACTCTCATACTCAGTGCCTCTTAATTGGGATGTTTAGACCACTTATATTTAATCTGATTATTGATATAAACTTTCCATCCTGCAATTTCTTTCTCATCTGTTATTTTTTTTCCTTCTCTGATTTCTTTTGGATTAATTGAGTATTTTTATGATTCCATTTTATCTCCCTTGTTGGATTATTAACTATAACTGTTAGTTTAGTGGTTGCTTTAGGGTTGCTTTAGTGCTTGCTTATCACAGTGTTCATTGCTGTATTACTTCATGTAGAATATAGTAAGCTTACAAGTTTCTTTCCATCTACTCCTCTTCTTCTGGCCCTTGTGCCATTGTTGTCATACAATTTGTTTATCTACTTACCTGCCTATATCCCTGAACTACATTGTTTTTTGTTTTTATTTTTGTAATTTATATTTTGGTGAGATTTAAATAAAAGTCTTATGTGTTTACCCTGTAGTTACCATCCTTGGTGCTCTTCTTTTCCTTGCATGGATCCAGATTTCTATTTGTTATTCAATTACACATAAATTACGCCTCTTGAGGCTGCACTTTCACTCGCTAATATTGTTTGTAAATTTTAAAAATTTATCTGAGTCTATCCCAGCACCTCGAAGAGCATCTGGCACACAGTAGGTGCTTTTTAATCGGACATCATAGGGAAGAATTCCACACAAACTCATAGGTATTATTCTAATCCTCATGTATTCTAATCCTCATGAGCTGTCACACAAACTGCTATCCTATCACACTCATACTCTACTCTCTGTCTGTCCTTTTCTATTATAGCACATTCTCAGAGTTAACATTACGAATGTTGCACACACACTCATACGTGGTCACAGAAATGTAACGTGCCCACCCCAACACAGTTTTACATAGTTAATCTCATTAAAACCCACAATGACAGAATCAAAGAGTTATGTACGAACTCACAAAATCACAGTCTGGTGACAGAAACTTATAGGGAGAAGATTTTTTAAAAAACTTAAAATATAAACACAGTTGTTCTTAGGGGGTATAGAGTCACATTAAGGAGCCATGGAGTGCCAGGGTGGAGGTGTGATCAGGTACAGCCTCTGGAGATGTGGCGTTTGTATGTGAACGTAGGGAGGGAGTAAGGGAACTTTGAAGATTATCTGACAGAAGAGCCATTTCTGGAAGAGGGGACACATTCACACTCACCACCATCACCAAATGACAAATACAAGAACCATATGCAAACAGGACGCTCTCTACCATGACCCCGTCCCTCCCACCTGAAAGGTAAGCCATTTGGGGAGAAAGAACGCCCTGGAGTCGGGATTGGGAAGAAGTATAACGCGTTTGCGCACGCTAATCCCTGCTCTCCCGGTCCACCTTTTTTTTCGGGTACTCTTAAGCAATTCTAGGAACTAGCCTTTCACCCACTTTGTGTGGACGCGCGCACTAGCGTCAGCCCACACACAGACCCCTGCTCCTGCGGCTAAACTGCCGCTCTAAATTCTTCAGCCCAATTGTTAAAGGATGTGGACTTGAGCGCTTGTGTCTGCGCGCTCCCATCCCAGACCATCTAGTGTTACGCTTGGTTCAGTCTCTGTGGCGGACCCAGGCTCGGAGTTGGGAGAAAACGAGACTTCTGGTCTCCTTCTGGAAGGTCAGGGAGAGGCCAACGTGGCAGGAGGACCCGGCAAAAGGCGAGGAGTGACGTTACTAACCCTCTAGCCCTTGCGCAGTTGGACCTGCAGCACCGCGGTTGTTTTCTCTTCTGGACTACATTTCCCAGTAGACCCCGCGAGCACTGGGCGGGCGGCCCCTTTGTGTCCTCCGGAGGCTGCGTATCTTCTTTCCGGGCCCGCGAGGGCTGGGTTCCATCAGATTCTAAGGGCAGGAGGTGGGCCCGTGTAGAGATAGCCGGAGCGTTCCGGGCGGGGACAGGATCTTACCGCAGTTCAGTTCCACAGGTAGGGAGTGGGCTGAGGGTTGGCCTGTGAGTCACCCGGACGCGGGTCTCCGCGCTCTCTGTGTGACTTGACATGTGAGTTGGAGGTTGATTAGGTACCGTGTTAAAACTGTCACCCGATACGCCTGTACACAGCGTATCTGTGTGACTGTGAGTGCGAATAAATCAGTGGTTAGTGCCAGAGAGCATGAGACTGTGAGTAGGACTGAGAAGGTATTCTCTATCCCCTTGTTTCCATACCCTCAGCCTCTTTGTGACGCGTGCGCGAGGCCCTCGGTTGTAATACACTAGTATTTCAGGCTTGGGTATGTGGGAGAGGGTGACTGTGTTAGACAGTGTTCATACACGGCCACTGAGTGTGATATGTGAAAAACGACGGTTGACGCTGTTATTTTTAAGAACCTGTGAGTATATGAAGGAATTGAGACTGTGCTACCGCCAATCTATTGGAGATGAGAAGGACTGTGTAGTCAGGAAGAACTTTATTTGATCTTGCTGCTGTTGTATATCTTTATAGAAATGATTTCTTACGTGTTTTCATTTGCAAAATCTAGAAAAATCTGTTGTTAAACTAATAAATCAGGAAGTGGTTTAGGCATGGATTAAATTGTATGCGAACAAATTCCCAAGTCTCCATTGTGCTTTGTCTCTATTAGAGAGGATGCTCCTCTCTTAACGAGAGGAAAGAGAAGCTGCAGACTTCTAGACTGGTGATTCTGGATGCTGCAAGGAAAGCCTACTTTCTCATGCTCTCTTCTCATCTCAGTCATAAGGACACTGCCATATCCCAGGAGAAGAGCCAAGAGGAGGAAAGAATGGCTGTTGGACTTCTTAAAGCCATGTACCAGGTGAGTTGGTGTTTTCTCTTTCCTGAAATATTTTCCTGCTTTTTAAAACAAGCAGGCGTTCATTTTCTTTCTGCTGAAACTTTTCTGGGTAACCAATTATGTCACTTTTTAGAACTCTCCAATGGATTCCCACCCATTCAGGATAAATACTGAAGTCCTTGCTTTGGCCTCAAGGCCCTGCATAATCTAGTCCTTGACTGTCCCTCTCACCTCATCTAATTTTCTCACCCTGCCTCCCAACTTACTCAGTGCCAGCCACACTAACTTCCTCATAGTGAGTTGAATACATTCTTAACTCATGGACTTAACACTTGCTGTTCTCTCTGCCTGGAATGCCGTTTTCCCAGATGCAGACCAACTTCTTTATTCTAGTCGCTGCCCCAAATTCATTCATTCATTTGACCAATTTTTATTAAGCACCTAAGCAACTAAGAGGTCTTTTATTAAGCAACTAAAAGGTGTTAGTCCTCTTCTGTGCTCTGTCTACAGTCACTCCTTTGGTGATCTCATCTCATAGCTTTAAATACCATTAATATGCCAATAACTATCAAACTGTATACAGCCCAGACCTCTCTCTTATAATCCAGACTTATGTATCCAACTGCCTACTCAACATCTTCATTTGATTGTATAATAGATACTCAAACTCAGACATCTCAAACTGAATGAAATGAGCCATTGGAAGTTTTGGGGCATAAGAGTCACATGATCTGATTCTCATTTAATAGGATCACTCTGGCTGCTACTGAGAATAAACCTAATGGGACAAGGATAGAAATAGGGAAACCAATTAGGAAACTCTTACATACTTCCTTATCTCAGGTGCTCAAGCTAAAGTTTTTCCATGAGAAAGTTGTTTGTTCAACGTTCAGAAGATATCCAGAAACTGACCACTTTGTAATACAAAAGCACTGCTTCCATTCTGGTCTGAAAAATCATCTCTCAACTGGATCATTGCTATAGTCTCCTAACTTGTCTCCCTACTTCCACCCTTACTGTCTTCTAGTCTATTCTCAACAGAGCAGCCAAAGCGATCCTGTTACACAGGTCATATTATGTCATTCCTCTTCATGGTGGGGATAGAAGTAATAAAAAGTAAGAACTCTTTCAGATAGTTTAGCTATAAGTAAAGAAGAGAAATGGGTGGTGACTGAAGGAGAAACTGGTCGACAAAGTTTTTTAAAGATAAGTATATGTCTTAGGCTGAAGTTGATGTAGTAGAAAGGGAAATTTAAAGTACTCTGGATTAAAGTATTTGAATTTTAATGGAATTGATGATTTGCTCTGCACATTTTTCAGAGATATAGCAAGCACTTTCTGGTCTCACTTTTAATCTTATAGCTTCCTGAACTTCTTAAACCATTTATTAATTCAGTTTATTCAGTGAATATTTGAATACCTTATGTATGCCAGATACTGTTCTGTAACTGGGAATACAGCAGTGACCAAAAAAAAAAAAAAAAAAAATTCCTCTGCCTTCATGGAATTTGTATTTTAGTGGAGGTGGGGGGCAGACAATATAACAAAATAATTAAGTGCTGTAGAGAAAAATAATGCAAGGTTAGGATAGGGAACTAGGGCAGGAGCATTTCTATTTTTATACAAAATGATCTGAGAAGTACAGAAGCCTCGAAGGGAGAACATGCTTGACGTATTTGAGGATGTAATATCAGAGAGAGCCCAGTGTGCCTGAGGCAGAAAGAATGAGGTAAGTATAGTTACTTCACTCCATTTATTTCATTTCAGGAGTTGGTGACCTTCAGAGATGTGGCTGTAGACTTCTCCCAAGAGGAATGGGATTGTCTGAATTCTTCTCAGAGGCATCTGTATAGTAATGTGATGTTGGAGAACTACAGGATCTTGGTATCACTGGGTAAGAATATCTTGCTTCAGAATTGAATTTCTTCTCATAAGGGGCTCTTTGCTACCACCATTGTGGAATTTCGGATAGCATCTTCCGTGCTTGGCTGAATATCTGCTGCCCATACCAAAGTAACGGTTTAATATTTGTGCAGTTGGCAGCATATAGGTCTAATACTAATCTATATCAAAAGCTTCAGCTTCCCTCTCCTTTGAATACGTGTCCTTAACACATTTTTCTCTGGCTTACTGTTAAGTTCCCTTTTCCTTGATGATCAAAGATGGGATATGAGTTCTAGGATATCCACAGCATGACCAAAGTCTGTTTCTTTTCATAAATGCAGGACTTTGCTTTTCTAAGCCAAATGTGATATTATTGTTGGAAGAAGGCAAAGAGCCCTGGAGCGTGAAGAGAGAGCTGGCAAAAGGCTTATGCTCAGGTGGGTGAGGAAGAAATAGGCAGGCAAAAACCCTTACAGGTAACAGCTCAGCTTGACTCAAAGGTGTCGCCTCTTCACTTTTCTTTGTTGGTATATTTTCAAATGTTCTAGATCTTAGTATAACTTGGGACCTTTTAGGGTATTCTCCCAAATTTGTTATTTGAAACTCTCTCTCCTTTAACACTTTTCTTCCTCTTTCTACTGACTCATGTATCTATTCTCTGAGTCCCATTTCTTCTCAGTTTCATAAGCTTCTTCCAGTCTTTTAAAAATCTTATCTGATAAACTTTTGAGCTCAACAGATAGCTATAACTGATGTACCAGGTTTAAATCCTTACATGCAGTGAAATTTCGGGCAAGTTACTTCTGTGCTTTTGTTTTGTTATTTGTAACAAAAGTGCTCTGAACAGTTCCTGTCTCATATTATGAACTCAATAGTTGTTAGCTGCCGTTAGTAGTGGTAGTATACCTCCAAATGTCTCATTTTCTTTTAATGGTCAGTATATTCTTTTAATCAACATTTATTGAAATTGTACTTTAAACAAGGTACTTGCAAAATGCTATGGTGTTACACATTTATATAAATAAACAATAGGCTAGTAGCAGAGTTATGATATAGCCATAAATGGAATAAAGAGAAAGCTGACATAAATAGGAAACTCAGAGAAAAAGGTGAGAAGCAGAGAAATCTGGGTAACTGGGAAGACGATGACCTTTAACAAAAACGCAGGTCAGAAGCTAGAAAACATTTGTGGGAGAAGATACTAAGTTTATCTTTGTAGTGTAGGAATGATTTTTATACAGACATAGGAAGCATTAAGGTAAAATGGAGGGCCGAAGTTCAGAACCAGGGTCATTGTAGACATCTCTGCTCAGCCACCACGCCCTCACAACCTCTCACCTATCTTTTGTATCTTTGTTCAGTTTTCTGAGAAAAAAATTGGTGTGGATTGTAGTATCAAATATATATGGTTAAATTTTGTTTATTATTAAATAAGTCACACATAAATATATATTAGTACATACATGTAGTTAATAATAATAGAACAAAAGCTCATGAACCTACTTGCTAGTGTAAGAAATAGAAAATTGTCAATGGCATTTTAGGTTCTTTAAGGCCCCTGCCTAATGACTTCTTACTTATGGCTCATTCCCACTCCTCACTGGAGTAACCATTATTCTATAATTTTGCTTATTATTTTTTGGCTTTTCTTTACGGTTGTACCATATGTCCCCATTTTCAACTTTTTATGCATGGAAATGTATTTTGTATGTAATGGACTTTTTTAAAACACAAAATTATATGCCTGATATTCATCTATGTTGATTTTGCTAGCTGTGGTTCACTGAATTTTTTGTTTTTGTTTTTTAAATAATTAAAAATTTTTTCAATTACAGTTGACATACAATATTCAGTCTCGAAGTGGCTTTTTTTTAATGTTATAAGACTTCTTGTTCAGCTAGACTTCAAGTGACTCCCAAAGATGGCTGTTTTGTAGTTTAGTTGTAATTTTGATGTGATTGTGAGAGGAGGCAAACACAGCGTTTACCTACCCCACCATCTTGACCGGAAGGTTGTTGAATTTTTTTTTTTCTGCTGAAATGTAATGTATTCTGCTGTGTAAACTACTTAATCCATTGAAGGTCATTTGAGTTGTTTCAGTTTTATGCTATTGTAAATGTTACTGAAATGTTACTGCTATGAATCTTACATATGACTGCTAGTGCACTGTGCTGGAGTTCATTTAGAGGATACAGCCGGGAATTTACTAGATAATACTATTTTACTTTTCGAAGTGCTTGTATTAATTTACATTTCTGACAGTTGTGTGTGAGGTTGCTCATTGCTTCACACTTGGAATTGACAAATTGAAAAAATTTTTTGGTAACCCACTGGGTCTCTTTATACTTATAATCTGAATTCCCTTGACGACTAAAGAAATTGAGCACATTTGGATTTCCTATTTTTGTGAGGTGCTGTTCAAGTCTTTTGTCAATTTTTGGAAAGGTTGTCATATATATATATAGCGTGTGTGTGTGTGTGTGTGTGTGTGTGTGTGTGTGTGTGTGTGTGTGTATATATATAGTTTATATTTTTGATATTTTGTTTTAAGAAACCTTTCCATAATCCAAAGTCATATAGATACTCTCAAAATTGACTTATGAAGATTTTTCTTTTATATTTAGGGCCATTATACAATTGAATTTGATTTTTGAGATTGAAGTCAGAATTTAATTTTGGTGCTTTATAGAAAACCAGATGTCCCAGATATTTATTAAATAAATGAGTTCTCTTTGCTCATTGTTCTGAATATTAGCTCTTAACATATCAGGTTAGAGTATATTTATGGATCTGATTTTGAGCTCTATTCCATTCCATTGATCTCTATTTCCTTATATCAGTACCAGCCTGTCTTAATGAAAATACTTTATTGTAAGGCTGAATATCTGTTAGGGCAAGGCCTTATGCCTTGTTTAGAACCTCTCGTTTGCTCTTTGACCATCACAATAAAGTTTAGGGTCACCTTGTCAATTTATACCAGAAAACAACAAAAAGCTATTGGCTTTTGATTCATTTATTTACTTTATATATCAATTTTGGAAATTTTTCTATTTGCAAATGTGGTTTATCTCTTCATTTATTTAGGTTTTTCAATTTCCTTCAATATGTTTATAGTTTTCTCTATAAAGGTCATGCACTTCTTCTGTTAGATTAATTCCTAGGCATCTTAGTTTTGTTGCTATATTAAATGTTGTCTATATTTCCATTTGTTGCTCATATATAGAAATGAAGTTTTATGCATTAACCTTATATCCAGCAATGTTGCTAAGCTCTCCTGCTAATGATAGTAACGTTTAGATTTCTTTGGATTTTTTCTGTGTGCAGGCATGTCTATGAATAATGGCAGTTTCTTCATTTTAAATTCTTATGCCCTTAATTTCTTCTTTCTGTTGCCCTGTATTCAATCGGCAGTATGTTGTGAACTGAAGTAGTGATAGCAGGCATTCTTGTCCACTTCTGGTCTCATTGAGAGCGCTTTAGTATTTTGTTATTAATAACTCTGATATTTAAAAGTTTGTGGTCAATATCCTTTAATTTTTTTTTTTACTAGAGTTTTGATTGTGGAAAGCTTTTAAGTTTTAAGAAATGTTTTTCTGTATCTGTAGATGATTCGATGGTTTTTAGTTTTTCATGTATTAATGTGGTGCATTATATATTACATTTTTAATGTTGAATCAACCTTGTATTCCTGGGACAAACCCATCTTTATATTTTTTGCATTCATGGCTAGTTGCTATTGGGCAATATTTTCTTTGGTTGTTTTTTTTTTTTTTTTGCATCTGTGTTTATCAGTGAGCCTGTCCTTCAAATTTCCCTTCATATATTCTTATTGTGAAATGTTAGAATCAAGATTGTCATAGTCTCATAAAATCTGTTGGTGAGTATTCCTCTTTTTCTTCCTTAGAAGAATTTGTAAATCAAAATGATTTGTTCTTTGAATGTTTGGTGGAACTTTGTTCATTTTTGCCTGCGACTTTTTTGTGTGTGTGAAAAGAATTTAAATTGATAATTTAATTTCTATTATGTTCTAAGATTCTCCTGTAGTCACGGAGATATGGTACTTTTTCTAAGAATTTCAACTTCTTGTGTAAGTTTTCAGATTTATTAGAAAAAGTTGTCCATTATTTTCTAAAGTTGGTAGCATATATTATTATGGCCTCTTCTTCCTTCCAAAAGGGAGAAACAAATCTTTACAGAGGGTTATCAATTTTTTAGTGTTTTCATTTTTCACTTCGCTAATCTTCTCTAATTTATTTTTTTTAATTTCATGTATTTCTTCTCTATATTATTTCATTCCATCTACATTTATTTATCCCGTTATGTTTTTTTAACTTTTAAGTTGATAATTCATTGTTTTTGAGGCTTTTTTTCTTTTTCTATTTTAAGCACTTAAGGCTATATTAGCAATGTATCTATCCCACATATTTTCATGTGTAGTATTTTTGTTACCATGTATATCTAAGTATTTTCTAATTTTAATTGATTCTTATTGACAAATTATTTAAATATTTTAAGTTCCAAATTGAAGATTTTTATTTGGTTTAATTGCATTGTAGTTAGAGAATTCTGTCCAATATGCATTCATTGAAATTTTTTAAAACTTGTTTTATGTCCTAGGGATGTTGGTAAATATTCTGTGTTTCCTTGAAAAATAATCTGTTTCCTGGTTGTTGAGTACAGCATTTGATATATGTTTGTTGGATTAAGCTCATTAATTTTGCTGGTCAAATCTTCTGTGTCCTTATTGATTTAAAAAAACATTCTCTTTGAGCAATCAATTATGGGGAGACCCATGTTAAAAACTTCTACTCTCATAGTGACTACATAAACTTATTTTGTAATTCTGACAACTGCTTTCTTATATTTTGAAATTATTTTATTAGGTATTATGGCTTTAGAATTGTTTTATCTTTCTGGTGAATTCTTCCATATATTACTGTTATCCTCTTTAAATCTAGCGATGATTCTTCCCTTAACTATTTTGCTTGATATTTATATAGCTATTTTAGCCTTCTTTTCTTAATATTTACTTGGTGTTTTTTTTTCCATACCTTTACTCTCTTGCTTTCTATTATATATACTGTTTCTAAACAGTATATAGCTAAATATTTTTTTAGTCCAGTTGGATAATCTTTATCTTTTAACTCAATGATGGTAGTAAATTACATTTTTTGGTAATACTAAAAATTTATTTCCACTATCTTATTTTACTTTATAAATTCTACTTTTTTCTCGTTTCTTAACTTCTTCATTTGTTTATTTGAAAGTTATGCAATGTATTTCTATTCTTATACTGGTTACCTTAGAAAAAATTTTTTTGCATTTCAATAACTTTATTGAAATGTATATCCCTTAGTACCATAACATATTGGTAGTTGGTTAGGTTACCTCTGCTAACTCAAAATTAATACCGATGTAATCAAAATATTAAAATATA